GGGGCGGCGCGGCGGGGCCGGCGCTGCCGGTAAGTTGGCGGCGCGGTGGCGGCGGCCCCGGGGGAGCGGGCGCCGCTCGCGCTCCCATTGGCCGCCCCGCCGTCAGCTGCTCCTATTTTCTGCTGTCGCTTTTGGCGCTCGGCCATCCAGAAACAAACCACTTCGATGACTCCTAATAGTTATCGCCAGATGTACTAATACACAACAAATCACGGTCCGGGAGAGGGGGAGAGCAAATGAGTTCCTATTTTGTGAATCCCACTTTCCCGGGGAGCCTGCCCGGGGGCCAGGACTCCTTCCTCGGGCAGATCCCCCTGTACCCGACGGGCTATGATGCTCTCAGGCATTTTCCGGCTTCGTACGGGGCAAGCAGCCTGCAGGACAAGACTTACACCTCACCTTGTTTCTACCAACAGTCCAACACCGTCATTGCTTGCAGTCGGGCTTCCTATGAGTACGGAGCCTCTTGTTTTTATTCGGACAAGGACATTAGTAGCGCCTCTCCTTCCGGCAGTGGCAAACAGAGGGGGCCCGGGGACTACCTGCACTTTTCTCCCGATCAACAGTACAAAACCAGCGGCGGCCAAGCCAAAATTATAAATGACGAAGGCACCGACCGGAAGTACACGAGCCCTGTTTACCCTTGGATGCAGCGGATGAACTCCTGCGCTGGTAAGGCATCTCGGTGCAGTCAAGGGCGGAGAGGGGAGGAAAAGGAAAAGTTTCTTTTTTTATATATAATTTTTTGTTAGATAAAGTCCAGATTGCTGGAGAAACACGGTTCCTGCAGGGCAATATGTAACATGAAATCTTCCCAGGTTTAGACCCGGCACGTTGGCACCCAGGGAATGGTGGCCAAGATCCCACTATGTAGGTTTACTGGTGAAAGTTACAGGGGAATCCTTGAAAAGTAGAGAGAAAAAAAAAAAAAAAAAAAAAAAAAGACATAAAAAGGAACAAAGCACTTTTATCACTCTCTTAAATCCATCCCAAAGCCTCTGCTCTGCTTCTTCATTGTCAGAGAGCGATGCATGGAATATGCCCTCTGTACTGAGGATCCAAAGCATTTGTGGTACATTCCTCCTCGCCCCCCCTCCCCCAGCTCATTAGCCTGTGAGTATTGGATATTGAGAGCACGTTTCTGGGGCCGTGGGCGCACTTCCACGGCATCGCGAATTTTTTCAGACTTAGGAGTGAACTTCACATAATTGAACTATTCTGTATAGGAGTGGTGCTGGGGGAATGGGGGGTGGGAGTGGAGTGGGAGGGTTGCATATAGATGACATTTATTTTTTATAATCCCAAATTTAAACCTTTACTTCAAGTGTTTGCTAATGACTCGCCTTCTCTCCCATCCTCCCGAGTTTATGTTTGCTGCAGGGACAGGTCTCACTCCTTTTTTTTAAAAAATTAAACTTTTAGCAAGACCATTCCGATGCTGCTTTGCATTCAAGAGCAATAAATTCCGGAGCAAATGACAAAACGCTCTTCTATGATCTTTAGCTGATGTCTATAATTATACTTAGAGATCTTCTGTAGTGCCAGCCATGGCAATGGCTGTGTGTTTGTGTCAACACAGCCACATGTGCGTGCACACACACACACACACACACACACAGAGGCACAGACACATGCGTGAGGCTCCCCGGAGCACACGTGTGCCTGTGCCTGTGTGTGCGCACAGGCTCCCAGCACGCACAGAGCAGCCTCTGCTCAGCGACTCGCACCGTTCTACCTCCTGCACCTTCCCTAGGTCCGCCTTATTGCCTCTTTGTATCCCACTTACCCCGCCACCCGTAAGCACACTGCACATCCTCATTTACAGCTCGTCAGGCAGGAGAAAGGGAAAAGAGAAAATTAAAAAAAAAAAAAAAAAAAAAAAAAGCCTCCAGGAAACCAGAGCAGCTTCCCCCACTCCCCGTGATTGTGCCTGCAAAAGGAGGCAGAATATACTAATCGCTCTTTCTGGTCTGAAATCACTGGGCCCTGTCCAATGCGATCGTTTTGTCTTTACTTCTACAGGTACAGTATATGGAACACATGGGAGACGAGGGAGGCAAACTTACACCAGATACCAAACGCTAGAGTTAGAGAAGGAATTTCATTTTAACAGATACTTAACCCGAAGACGACGTATTGAGATTGCAAACGCTCTCTGCCTTACTGAACGCCAGATTAAAATATGGTTTCAAAACAGGCGGATGAAATGGAAAAAGGAAAACAAATTCATAAATTCCACACAGCCCAGCAGCGAAGAAACAGAGGAAAAGTCAGGGGAGTAGAACCACGTTTAATAAACGCTACCAGGCCTTTCCTTAGTGCTTACTACTACTACTATTATTATTATTTACCTTGTGTTCCTTCTGCTACTGAAATCCTATAGGTTTGTCACAGTCTATTAATCCCCAAAAGGCTTGGTTAAAAGATGTATATTTGCAATCATCTGTGACTTACTCTAATATATGTGGAAGCCCCAGCTTTCGAGCTACAGGCATGTATGTATGTAACCACCTTCCCAAAGCATATATGGTGTTGGTTAACGTATTAGAGAATTGGCCCAAAATTTTAAATATTTGAGATGAGTATCCGTGTGTGGGTGAGTGTCCCTGGTGTGCTTGTGTGAGAAAAGATTAGCGAATTATTTTTAATATTTTTTTTTTTTAATTAGAAATGCTCATATTGTAGAAAGACAAGAGATTTTAGAAAATATGTGGTTTATGTTTTTGCTAGCTCCCGCTACGGCGGGCCATCTTGTCATGCTGTGTTTGGGAGTTTATGACCCACAGGGGGGGAAAAAAGTTTTAGTTATGTATAAGATATTTAAATAGCAAAAGGGAGAAAAATTCTGTTAAAAAAACGTTGTAGAAATCCCTGTGTATAAACTTTCAGTTAAAGCGGAGATGAATTGCAGGGAGATTTTTTTTTTTAAAATACCGCTAAACTGCTTAGTCTGCACTACTAGTATTAAAGTGAAAACTCGGCGTTAAACTTCAGGGGAAGCGAGGGAAAAGGTTTCGAAGCGGGCAATTTTCTGTGTTTCCCGTTGAGCTTACACTAAGGTTTTGGTGAGCTCAGCTCTGCACTGAAGAGGCTTTGAATTATGGACTACATTTCTTGGGGCTTCGTGAGCTTAGATCGATCTTTTTTTCCTTTTATCTCTCTTTCTTTCTGTCTTTCTTTCTTCCTTTCTCTCTTTCTTTCTTATTTGAAGAGAAGGTCTTATTAACTCGGGGATTTTCTTTCCTGCTTCTGCGGTATCTTAATTCACATTCGCATTACTTAGCACTGGAAAAAATAAATTGATGCTTTGAAGAAAAATAGCTGCCATAAAATGCTTCCACTTCGAGATTTGTAGAAGTAAAAAAAGAGCAGCAAAATTATTGATTAATATATATGTTATATCTTTCTATATTAAATTGCGTGTGCGTGAGTGTGCATGTGAAGCTGTGTACAAATGCACTTGTATACGCATCGAGGCTCTTTTGTGTGGAAAGCAGCACAATTTGGGCTACCATTCTAAATGTTTTAAAAGCCAAATCTGGAGAATATAATGCAAAATGGCTACCGCCGCATTTAGAGGATTTTTTTTTTTCCTTCTGAGAGGCGATAAAATAACGGCAGCCGCAAAGTCGCCTGGAATTTGACCCCCTAGTTGGAAAAACGCTGCACGATACTTATCTTTAATAGAAATCTGCCATTTCACATCGGCAGGACCCGGCTGCCTCTCGAAAACTCCGGAACGGGAACAAGTGTGGGGGAAATTATACACACACACACATATATATATATATACATATGTAGAAGGGACATAAGCCTTGCTAGCACCCGCGAACGGATCGTGTAGGATTTGTGAACTGCTGTAAATAAGCCTGGCACGGAGGAGAAGGCAGGCACAAAGCGCATCGCTCTCTGCACACGCAGCTCCCCGGCGGCCGGCTCGGAGCAGCAATGCCCGCCGGCCCCGCAGCCTCGCCGCCGCTTTGCCG